TTTCCTAAACCCTCTGGCCACGTTGTCTCCTGAGATCGGTCGTTTGGGGCTGTCGGGGGGCCACCATGTGGACATTGGGTCATCTTTGTTCAAGAATTTATCTTAAGACTATGGGCAGCCGATGGGCTCATTCTGAGTGTTCTGAACTTCCCGAATAGCTAGTCGGCATTCCCTACATTGGTGGTGGTGACAATTTACCCCTGTAGATGAACGCAGACGTCATTCAGATAGATGAACGCAGGAGAGGAACGTGCAGAATGCATTCACAGGAATGGCTTTGTTGGGGTTCTCAACATAGTCAGGCTGATAAAAGATGATGTCCATCGAAGTTCAACCAAGATGCAGCTTGACCCTCATCTGAGGTGCCCTTTGGGGTCATGAACTTAAAGGGTATGTAAACCCTCACAATGAACTTCTCGTAAAACACTCAAAGGGAGGACCGTCGTTCCTTAGCCCTGAAACTGCCCATTACTATGGATTGGGGTCCCGGCTGGATAGAGCTCTCCCCCGCTCCCTGCATGTCAAAGGCAATGAAACCGGCTGCACTTCGATGATGTCAGCTTAAATTAACTTTATTATTGTGGATAAAGATTACAGAAGGTCCGCCTCAACACTACCCACACTGATGCGTTTCACCCAAGCAGGGCTTGGTTGTAAAGAACAAGGACTGGGCAGACTTCCCGTATTCCTTGTCCAGAACAATGAAGTTCATTGAAGGTGATGTCATCGATGTTTATTTGCTACTTAGCTTATCATATTTGCATCTTATTGGTCTGTCAAAAAGCATCCAAAGCATTTTGTTATATCTATTCAATAAGGGAAGAAAGATACCTGTTGAACCTGCTAGAAATCCAGTTTGCATGTCCTCTGCAATGATGTCCCACACAGACTTCTGAGTCCACCTCTATGCACTACAGAACTCCACCCCGCCACACCAACTACAACACTGCTCCTGCACAGATACAGTACAGTGAGTGAGCATTGTCCCCTAGGACAGGAAGTGTGTTACTGGCAGGATCACATTATACAGCCACCTGTACCTACTGATCATCCTAATATGTCATCCCAATCACTATCCAGATCCTGCCGCCTTCACCTTCGCAACATCTCCAAAATAAGCCCCTTCCTCACCAATGAGACCGCAAAACTACTCATCCACTCCCTTGTTATCTCTCGTCTAGTCTATTACAACTCCCTCCTCATTGGCCGACCTCTACACAGGCTCCTCCCCCCTTCAGTCCATCATGAATACTGCTGCTAGACTCATTCACTTAACCAACCGCTCAGTGTCTGCAACCCCCCTCTGCCAATCCCTGCACTGTCATCCATCCCCCACCCCCCTCTGCCAATTCCTACACTGGCTTCCAATAGCCCAGAGGATAAAATTCAAATTATTAACAATCACTTACAAAGCCGTCCACAACTCTGCCCCCGGATATATCTCCAACCTTCCCCTCCATGGTATTGTATAGGGTGATCACATGATGCTGTTGGTAGAGCCCCGGTGCTGTTGGTGGTGTATGATGGCCGTTCTGAGACCTGAAGTCTCTTACATACCTCTTCTGTACGTACGTTCAAATTTAGGAGGAGCTGAGCTGTTATAACCAAGCATGAGTGTGGTGGGCCCTATATCTAGAAGTGTGTACCACACCCTCTGACACTATAGAAACTAGTAGGTAACAAGACGTGTGGGGCTTTGAAGGTACCGTGAGCAGCAGCAAAACGTCGTCTTAAGCTAAAATTCCAATTTTAATTGTGCAGATTAAAAGAATATATTTTATATATAAAGATTAAAACCGACATCAACTCCATCACATGGGTTGGCACATCTCCCATAAACCCACTCAGAGCTATGCAATTAACAGATAGGTATTGAGTGAGCTTCACTTTCACAACAGAGATATTCCAAGCCGGTTGATTGGTTGATTGCCTTGTAGACGGTGCTATGGTGGGTTTAAGGCCTTGTTCACACCAAATGCAGAGCAGATCCGGTCAGGTTTCTGCACACGCAGTGCAGTGGGTCGTGCCGCGTTTTTGATGTGTTTTTGCCGCGTTTTTGATGCGTTCCGGGCCGTTTTTGGTAAAAAAAAAATATATATATATATTTTTTTTTTTAAAGTTTAACATGGGCTTTCAGGCACTTGCATGCGTTGTTGATGCGTTTTTGCATTTTGCATGCGTTTTTGATGCGTTCCAGATCAGGTAAAATAGGGCTTGCCGCAGTTTTTTCAGCTGCTCTGGATCTGCTCTGGATCTGCACTCTGCAATGTGAACTGGAGCTCAAAACACCATAGGAATACATTGGATGCAGTTTTGATCCGGTCTGCACCTGCTCTGCTCTGGATCTGCTCCGCGATTGGTGTGAACAAGCCCTAATTCTCAACGCTTTTCACCTTGAAGGCTTCTTCAGGAGAATAGAGATGTTCACCACTAACAAAGCACGGACAGAGGAGCCAGCAATGGGATGGGTATCCCCCAAATGGGGGGACCACCGGAGCGAGCAACGTCCAGAGCACCATCGACCAAGGAGCCCTTGCACAAATCTTCTTTCCTGGATCCAAACGCGTGTGTCCCCACAGGAGTGCGTATGTCTCCAGGAGACATACGCGTTTGGAGCCAGGAAAGAAGATTGGGGCTATGCCTATTTCTTTGTCTGGCTCCTCTCTTTATTCTCCTGAAGAAGCCTTCAAGGTGAAAAGCACCATAGCACCATCTATAGTGCACCTTGAAGGCTTCTTCAGGAGAATAAAGAGAGGAGCCAGACAAAGGAATAGGCATCCTCCAAGTGGGGGACCACCAGAGGGAGCAACGTCCAGGACCAGCAATCAAGGAGCTCTTGCACAAATCTTTTTTCCCGGCTACTGGAGACACACGCACTTGTGTGGGGACACACGTGTTTGGATCCAGGAAAGAAGATTTGTGCAAGAGCTCCTTGGTTGCTGGTGCCCTGGGCGTTGCTCCCTCCAGGGGGTCCCCCATTTGGAGTATGCCTATTTCTTTGTCTGGCTCCTCTCTCTATTCTCCTGAAGAAGCTTTCAAGGCGAAAAGCGTTGAGTATTAAACCCACCATAGCACCATCTACAGTGCACCTTGAAGGCAAAGGAATAGGCATCGCCCCAATCTTCTTTCCTGGCTCCTAGTTTCTATAATGTATTGCCGAGAGCGTGCACTTCAGAAGAGCTCTGACACATGACGGAGCGCTGTATTCACTCTGCACATAGCTGAGGTATCAGTATTAAGCATTGGACCTTCACTCGCTGTGTTCGGAATGCAGCAAATATGTAATATTATTATAAGGCCAAGGCTGCAAATCCGGTCTTTGCACTCTGACTTCCTTATAATTCTTCTGGGCTTAAAGTGCAGCTCCACCCCAGAGTGATAGTTTAGTTATAGGCAGAGTGCGGTGGGCGTGGACTCAGCTCCTTGTGGAGGAATTGTTTATATGTTTCCTCTGCCCCTTACCTACAGTTATGGCGTCAAACAAACGATGTATTGTGTCAGTGTTCTCCACAATCCCTGACTGAGCAAAGTCCTCCTATGTGTCTTCACCAGTGAAAACCCCCGACCGTAATTCTCACCTCTGTTCCTGCAAACCAGAGACTTGTGTGCACCCATCAACCTCTGTGCTCCTCCTGCTGCATTTGTATATTATGAAGACCAGGAGCCCAGCACAGGGATGGCGGGAGCCCCTCATAATGGGACAGCGGGTGTACAGACCCGGGAACTCAGCACAGGGATGGTGGGGGCCCCTCATAATGGGACAGCGGGTGTACAGACCCGGGAACTCAGCAAGGGCTGGATACTTCATTGTTTGGCATTATGACAGCTGTGTTTAGGTTCTGATTCTGGAGAGGAGAGTTAATGACTCGATTTGGCAGCAACAACGTAAACATGTATTGAGCGGCTTTGAATGGCGTATACATTACATATCATGTGACCTTAATGGGAAACCGTTGCTCGCTTTCATATTTTCAGCCAAGACTCTGAAATTTGCTTTTGTAGCTCATATACGTGATGAAGAAATGCATCACCTCCATGTATCTATATCATTGCCATACCTCCCTTTCAGCACAAAGTATGTAAGCAAAGGACCCCCAAACATGAACAGTTACACAGACCAAGAAGACCCAATGTGCAAAAAAAAAAAGAGAACCTGTCCTAGACCATTCAGATCAACAAACAGCTTCCCATAAGATCCGTTGTGCATCTAACATATTTTATGCATATTACTTCACTTGCTAGAAAATCTGACTTCTCCAGGAAGGGTCAATTCTGTAGCACAGCCCCCCGCCTCTTCCCTCAACACCATACATAACCTTTTATATACAGTAGCCTTCCCTATAATGAGGCAGCATGATGGTTGTTGCCTCAGTTGGCATCTCATAGGGTCTTGTGGGCATACCTGCCGCCCCCTTTCTGGCCAGGTTGCTAAGAGCTCTTAGCAATCTGTTATGCTCTGGCCGGCCTCTCACCCAGATCACTGACGTCATTGGTCGTCAGCAGCTGAGCGGGATGCTCTGGCTGCCGTTCCACACAGATCACTGACGTCATTGGTTGTCAGCAGCTGAGCGGGATGCTCTGGCTGCCGTCCCACACAGATCACTGACGTCATTGGTTGTCAGCAGCTGAGCGGGATGCTCTGGCTGCCGTCCCATCGAGCTCCTGGCGACCAGTGATGTCAGTCAGCTTGGTGGGACGCCCTGAACCACGTGCCAGCCCCCACTGCTCCCGGCACATCCACCATGAGCCACCCACAGAATGTACATAAAGAGCCACCCCCCTTTCTTCCCACCCCAGAGATGTCCAGGGACACCCCATGTGCAGCTTTCATTCTAATAACCCCTGGTGAGTGCCATGGAGGTCCTTGTTCAGCCACTTCCTTCCTTGAGATGTACAAAGTCTCAGAACCTTGACTGGTGATTGATGGGATTGGCCTCCGCCCAGAACACAAATATTGAGCGGCCTTTCACAATTCTCAACTTTCTGTTTCTTTGCAGGATACAACTATAAGCTGGAAGATGACGGCAGCCAGACATAACAACTGCGCTGATCCCCAAACAAAGAATGGCGCGTCCTGTCGGAATCCGTTCAACAACATCAAGGTAACGCGGCCAGAGCAGGGCAAAGTGTCCTCGTATGATAAGCCGCTACCAAGGTTCAATTTATGTCCCCGGACAGCTCACAGTTGTACAATCGCTATTATTTGGCATGTGGCTTTTTATTTTATTTATTAACTATTATCCAAATACTGCTGGAGGTTTTTCTCCTGGATCAGCATATTTCATGAAGCATTGTATTGTCTCCATCTTAAAGGCCAACTAAATTCGGGCTCCGGGAGGTGTTCAATAAAACAGCTCTGGCTGCAGTTCTCACCTCCTCTCCCACGTGTCCAGTGCAGTCATTACTTTTCTCCGCTAGATGTCCTCCGTTATCTGGGTTGAGTGATGGCCAGCATCATTCTGATGACATCCCATTAGGGCAGCATGTCATGGACCCGCCCCCGAGGAAGCAGCACCATGGCACCTTTTACTGACATACATTGATTCAAAGAGTGGTGCTGATTTCATGGTCTCTCTGCATCATTGAGGGCTGCCCACTGCTGGTAAAGATCCAAAGTGGAAGAAGAGTCTGAACATCACATGACTGGCTTGATGGTATCTGGAAAAGGGGCAAGGAAGGGCGGTTGCACTGGAGGGCATGAGGGTTGAGGCACAATAATGTAGATTATGGAAAACCTATTTCTGAGTTTACTCATCCTCTAACAAAGACAGGTCTGTGCGCCCCTCTCCATTCCATTGTCACCACCACCATTTTCCCAGCAGCTGATGTCTTCATTTTTTTGGTCATTGGTTGCCCTAACTCTCACCCTCTTCCTCTACCCCTAATTCTTTACCCTCTTACTTTAGCCCTTGCCCTTCTAACCCTCGCTCCTTTACTCTAATCCTAACTCTAACCCTAACCCTTGCCCTCTTACTTTATCTCTAACCCCCATCCTCTTGTTCTAACCCTACCCTCTAACCCTAATTCTTCACCTTCTCACTCTAACCTTAACTCTATCCCTTGTCCTCTTCCTCTAACCCTAATTCTTTACCCTCTTACGCTAGCCCTTGCCCTTCTACTCTAGCCCTAAACCTTGCCCTCTTGGTCTATCCCTACTCTAACCCCATCCTCTTGCTCTAACCCTAACTTTAAACCTAACCTTTTTATTCTAACCCTAATCCTTCACCTTCTAACTCTACCCTTAACTCTATTCCTTGTCCTCTTACTCTAGCCCTAACCCGAACTCAAACCCTACCCTTACCTTCTTACTCTATCTCTAACTCTCACTCTCACTCTCTTACTCTAACATTAAAGGAGAACTATGAGGGGGGGGGGGAGGGGCTTTTCACTCATCCTCATAGTTCTAGCCGACCTGTGACAATGAAACTGTCACAGGTCGGCTCAGGAAATCGGGAAGTGAGCGAACACATACCGGCGCTCGCTCACTTCTCGATCCTGTCACGGCAGAGAGACGTGACAGGGGAGGGACTGGATTCCCCCCTCCCCTCCCCGATCCTCCAGCGCTTGATGTTTCAATGAGAAACAAAAAGTGTGTAAAAGAAGATAACTGCTACTGTGCCTTCTCTTTAGCTGACCCATAGAGCTCTGGGAACCCAGTGTCCATTATCAAACGTCTATTTGTAAAGCAAAGATTGTATATTCTAAAAACACCTATACATAAAAAAACAATTAAAATAAGATTCTCTTCAGAACCATTTTAGCTCTTCTTTAAGGACTTTAGCAGGTGACATCATGGACGGTTGTCAGCCACACACTCAGGTTGAGGACCTTTGAAGGGGTTTAGTCCTAAATTTGACCCTGATATCAGTGTATCACTGCAGGAACTTTAGTTTCTCTTACCATGCATTCTTCCAATCTTCAGGAGTCTATGTTGGGGTGGGGCCCAGGCATTGTCTGCTGCTCTGTAGTACATCCTCTTTAAGGTTTTGCATGGTGGATGCTTTGAGATTGATTTCTGTTTATTGGGGCACCTACCCTTACGTGCTTACTCTAACGCTAACTCTAACCTAACCCTAACTCTAACCCTTACCCTAAGTCTAACACTAACCCCTAACGCCAACCCTATCTCTAACTCTAACCTTAACTCTAACCTTAACCCCTAACGCTAACTCTACCTCTAGCCCTAACTCTATCTGTAACTCTAGCTCTAACTCTATCTCTAACCTTGACCCTAACTCTATCTGTAACTCTAGCCCTAACTCTATCTGTAACTCTAGCTCTAACTCTATCTCTAACCTTGACCCTAACTCTATCTGTAACTCTAGCCCTAACTCTATCTGTAACTCTAGCTCTAACTCTATCTCTAACCTTGACCCTAACTCTATCTGTAACTTTAGCCCTAACTCTACTCGTAACTCAACCCCTAACTCTACCTCTAACCCTAACTCTAGCCCTAACTCTACCTCTAGCCCTAACTCTACCTCTAGCCCTAACTCTACCTCTAGCCCTAACTCTACCTCTAACCCTAACTCTATCTCTAACCTTGACCCTAACTCTATCTCTAACTCTATCTCTTACTCTAGCCCTAACTCTATCTCTTACTCTAGCCCTAACTCTATCTCTTACTCTAGCCCTAACTCTATCTCTTACTCTATCTGTAACTCTAGCCCTAACTCTATCTGTAACTCTAACCCTAACTCTATCTCTTACTCTAGCCCTAACTCTATCTCTTACTCTATCTGTAACTCTAGCCCTAACTCTATCTGTAACTCTAACCCTAACTCTATCTGTAACTCTAGCCCTTACTCTATCTCTATCTCTAACTCTAACCCTACCTCTAACCCTAACTCTATCTCTAACTCTAACCCTAACTGTGGACTTCCTGCCAGCCTGGCCCGGTCTGGCCATTCCCCTCTGATCCCTTTGATATAAAAGCTAACTGCTGAGTTTTCTTTTTCTAGTTTCTCCGCCATTCTCTGTAAATGCTACAAAATGTATCTGGTAGAAATCCCAGGACACCGTCAGCTTGAGGAACACTCTAACCCCCTACCAAGCACCCGATTGCACTATAGTCATAATAGAGAAGATCGCACATGCTCCCTAATCTAATGTTTGGCTGAACTTTGAGGCCTCTTCACTATGTCTGCACGCTTTAGGTGTTTTATTCCGTTATATGATTGCGGATGTCGATGGAGGACAAGAAGGTAACTTACATATCAGGTGAAATGTTACACAATCTCATATGTAACATATAGCGTGCAAGAGGGAGAAAAACATACTGACAATAACAGCTAATTCCTGCAGATATGCGCACAGACCTCCCGGGTCTGACAGGTAGTCTTTGAGCTCCTTCACATACCAGCCAGTCACCCAGTCAGCTGTGAACATTGGTTATATTTCTCTATACAGAGCAAACTATACAAAGAATGCTGCACTGCTGGTCCTGCCAGTCCAGGTGAGGCGGGCAGCTTGTTATTCAATCATGAACTGGTAGTCTTTGTCAGTATGTGTTTTTTTCCTCTAACACACTACAGTATATGTTACATGTGACATTGTGTAACATTTTACGTGGTATGTATGTAACCCATTTTTGTATCTATTGTTCCACATCCTGCTGCTCAGGGGCGTGACTACAGATCATGGGGGCCCCATAGCAAAGTTTTGGTGGGCTTCCCCCATAAACTTTCCTATGGCCATTGATCTCAACATGAAGTATATACATATCAAATCAAGGTAGCAGGAGAGCTGTTAGTATAGAGCATAGCCAGGGCACTACTAGGGACCAGAGCTGTGGACAGAATCCGGGGTCAGGTGTGGGGGGGGGGGGGGGGTAACAGTGCAGTGAATTAACTTTTAGCATTTAATTTAACATGTCGTTTTTCTGCTACTTGCTGCAATAAAAAGGGAAAAAGCAGAAGTTGCAATACAAATGACCATCACAATATGTTATATAATTCTTGATCGTGCTTGATCAGCTTCTACCCGGGCCACAGCAGCTGGGGAATGACAGCTCAGAAACTGGAAGTGATGAAATAGTCATCACTTCCGGGGTATTCACCAGAGGGTAGATCAGTGATCAACTCTACTCACTGACACCCAACTTGGCTGTTCTGGGCTTTCAGGAGGAGCAGTGGAGCCCTGGATACATGATGGGGGTAGTTGGGTCAGGGGCGGTCAACACCTTCCAGCCTGTGTGGTGGCTTTGTGGCTTTACTGCCGCCCAAACCACTTCCATTGGAAAGCCGACAGTTGGCTGAAGAAGGACTAACAGACTCCCAGCTGCTAAAGAAAATGAGAGTCAGTTTACAGCAGTGGCTCGCAAACCTTTCCAAGGCCGGGACCCCTTGGTAACATTTGCCAAGTTGTGGTGACCCCCAACGGAGCGCTGGACTCCAGAATTAATAAGGCGCTGGACTCCAGAATTAGTAAGGTGCCGGACTTGGGACTAAAAATAGAAGCACACTCACATGAATACAAGCCCTCCTCAGCCCCTGCTACCTGCTTGCCTGCTCTGTCTCCATGCAGCCTTCTCAGCCCCAGCACTGCTTAGATGCCCCCGCCTCCTGCAGAGCTCACATTGTATGGGAGGCAGGAGGAGAGCAGTGGCTGTGAATAGAAAAGCCCCGCTGTACACACTGCCCGGCCACTAGATGTCGCTGCAGCAGCCAGGGAGTGTGCATAGTGGCACTTTTATATTCACAGCCTCTGCTGTCCTCCCGCTGACTGACACTGCTGCGCTAGGAGGAGGCTGAGGAGCCTCTCACCTAGCGCAGCAGAAGTGGATGCTCTGACCCCCTCAACAGTGAGTTGTGACCCACTTTTGGGTCGCAACCCACAGGTTTAAAGCTTCCACAGACATAGTATTTATAATAAGGGCCAAATACAGGCTGACCATATCTTCATCATCAAAGCCAATTGCTGAACCTCAACGGTTGACTGTATTGTATAAATGGATCTTGTGTATAGTTATCAAGCAGCAGCAAATGTTAATATTCATTATATTGTAATATAATGTTGAATTCATTCCATATATAATGCGCACGGTTCAGTGAATTCTCAACAAGCCATTTTTTTAATCCAATGTCGTTTCTTCCCGAGGTAGACTGACGCACGTAGTCCAACTTAACTTCAATGCTTCCCCCTATGGTACATAGTAAAAGTTCAGAGTTGAGTTCAAGTGCTCTTCGTGCAGAGTCTACACCTCACGTGGTATCACTCCATCAGATAAAAGCCTCAACATTTCCCTGCAAGGTGTGTGAGTCTCAGAACAAAACAATCTTTGAAAACCACCGCTCGTACAATGTATCTGCTGTTAATTATTTACACAAAGTTCACCCAGGTTGGGAATTGACATCAAGATGTCATCATCTCCCACAAATCTGATTCTCAGCAGCCAAAGTTTCATATAGAGCCAACGTAGTATCTTTCAAACCTTCATACTGGTATGCCAAGATCTACCAGTCAAACAAATAGCTATTTCCTTGGGGTTAAGTAATCAATCAGCTTCAACCAGTTTCTCCAAACTCAGCTAGCTACTTCAGGAAGGATCCAGTAAACGTTTCACATGAGTGATCATACTCGTGCAATGGGGGTAGACAATGAAGCCATATACCCAAGGTACTCTTTTTTAGGGCATATCTGCAGGTAAATGAAATGAACTTTCTGATCTCTGTTGGCTGGATCGCATTGTAGCTCAGTACGTGCTCTCCCCTCTAGCCGGGGCCTTCTCTTCTGCACAGAGATTCTAAAGCTGGAACATAATTGTTGTTTTGTCGTGTTTTGATGCCAGGTCTTTGTGGTTTGCCATGGGCTTCTTCAGCTGTCACAGCTCCTCCTGACCGGCTACCTGAGAAGCACCATATCGACTATTGAGAAACGCTTTGGCTTCTCCAGTCAGACATCAGGGATTCTGTCATCCTTCAATGAGGTAATCAGAAGAAAAAAAAATGATAAAAAAAAGAATTCCAAAGAGAATTGTCTATGGACAGCAAAATGTAAAACTAATGAGGCTGTTCAATTCAATTTTACATCGACTGAGTAGCACCAATGAGCCTTTTAATGTCTTCATGTTTCAGATCGGAAATACAATTCTCATTGTGTTTGTCAGCTACTTTGGCAGTCGGGTGCACCGGCCTCGCTTCATTGCCTTTGGTGCTCTGGTGGTCTGCATTGCTGGATTCATCATGTGTCTACCTCACTTTCTAATGGGACAGTATGAGTATGACAAGTCCCATGCCAGTAAGTGTCCTTGTGTTCTCAGCAGTCCTAACACATCGGCGTTCAACTAACATTCAAAAATAAAAGGTTGCTCAGTGTGAGGCCTGGCTTTGAAGATATAGTTGTATATTCCCAGTGCTTGTGGAATTTTGTCCCCAGGAAAGAAAGTATATCAACCACCAGCACCAACATTTGCTGTACCACCAGCAGCAACAATACATCCACCTCTAGTACCAACATTTCATCCATCACCTGCACCAATGTTTCATCCACCAACATCACCAACAATACATCACCAACATCGCCAACATTACATCCACCATCAACATTTCATCCACCAACATCACCAACATCACCAACATTACATCACCAACATCGCCAACATTACATCCACCATCAGCATCAACATTACATCCACGATCAACATTTCATCCATCAACATCACCAACATTGCCAACATTACATTCACCATCAGCATTTCATCCATCAACATCACCAACATTACATCACCAACATCGCCAACATTACATTCATCATCAGCATTTCATCCATCACCTGCACCAACTTTTCATCCACCAACATCGCCATTGCTACATCACCAACATCGCCAACATTACATCCACCATCAGCATTAACATTACATCCACCATCAACATTTCATCCATCAACATCACCAACATTACATCACCAACATCGCCAACATTACATCCACCAACATCGCCATCATTACATCCACCAACATCGCCAACATTACATCCACCAACATCGCCAACATTACATCCACCATTAGCATCAACATTTCATCCACTACCTGCACCAATATTAAATCCACTGGACAGCATCAAAATACATCTACCATCAGCAACAACATTTCACCCACCATTAGCATCAACATTAAATCTACCACAAGCATTAACATTACACCCACCACCCGCACCAACAATACGCTCGCCACCCGCGCCAACATTACGCCCACCAGCAGCACCTTTATTTCATGTTGGTTGTCTGAGTGGTCAGCAGGGACGACCAGGGGCTTTGTGATACCATGTATAGATTAAGCTCAGCATAATAGTGTATTCCGCTACATTTCACTTTGCACTGTCAGATCTTTAGAGAGAGAGAGGTCGGGGTAATCAGTGTAGTGATGATTTCTAGTAGTCCACAAAGTAGGTAGGTTGAGAAGCAGTGGCAGAGTCTGCACAATCACAGGCTTTGATAGATATTCCCCAGCCATATGGGCACTGGGTGGGGGTATCTCAGCAGTACCTAGGTTACTTTAAATACAGTCTGGCAAGTAAAAAATATCATGGAATAATATTTTATCCCTTTTGCTGTTTGGCCACTACATCAAAAGGGATGTACACAGCCCAAGAAACTTCGAATACGGACTCATGGCTGGCAGAACCTCAAGTGCATTCACTACTGCCCATGCTGCCAGTTTCTGCTGTCTGGGGCAACAGAGGTTTCTGGTTCGCCTCTAGATAGGACCAGATGGTTGGTCCATGTGGGTCAGGGTGCTGATGGAGTCATTGAATCTCATATATCTTTCCTTCTTATTAGGTGTCTACAGCAACACAACTGATGTGTGCCAGCCCAGCAAATCCGGTCTGGGGGACAGCAACGACCAATGTGTCAAAAAAATGGGCACAGAGAACAATGACGTTCTGTCCATCCTCTTCATTGGCCAGATCCTGCTTGGTATAGGTGGAGTGCCCATTCAGCCATTTGGAATATCGTATATTGATGATTACGCCAGTAAGAGAAATTCTCCTTTATACATAGGTAAGATGAGTGGTGAAGGAGGGAAAATGAGGCTAGTGCAGGCCTCCTCAAACTTTTTCTGCTATGCCCCCCATTTAGTAGCAGTTGAAATGTCGTCCCTCCCCCACCCTACCAGTGCCACATTTACCTTTTGTAGGGTCCAGACACCCATCGCTACATCTAAATCCTAACAAAAGCACCATGTTCAAATCGTTAGGCATTGGCCATAACAACGGGTATCTGGATCACATAAAAGGTAAGGGCACTGCTGGTGGGATGGGGCATCACATGTGTCTCACTCATGATGCTGCTGTTGGTAGAGTTGCCAACCAGTCCAGGATCACTTTGGGAACACATTCAGAGTGATTTCATAGGGTGCTGGTCAAGAGATGCTTCATCATCCACTTGATCGCAGCACTAAAGGAATGAAAAATTTCCACGGCATAAACCAAAGATGGCTGCAGCAACCACAATGGGTGAGCCCATGTTCTAACCCACTGGGAACACACAACATTCACCTGTACAGTGATCCTTACCGAAATGTCCCTTGTGGTGGGGGGTGCTCGCAGTGACTGCGGATGGCGCCACAAATATCAGTAGAATTGTAGAAATGTCACCAGCACACCAGAATCATTTTAGAAGAGCAAAAGCTTCATTTATTGAAGTTCTTTGTCATATGAACAAGCGCTTTCAGGACCACATAGGGTCCCTTCATCAGGCTCTAGCATTGACCCAGTCACATTGGTGGCACAATGCCCATTGGATTGTGCTTATCGTGCCATACCAACCATTCACAGCGTGTCAATGGTAAAGCCTGATGAAGGGACCCTATGTGGTCCTGAAAGCGCTTGTTCATATGACAAAGAACTTCAATATATGAATCTTTTGCTATCCTAAAAGGACTGTTGTGCTGGTGACATTTCTACAATTCTCATTCACCTATACAGGTCCCCATGTATGCCTTAGCCATCCCAAGGGGGTGCATCCCCCAGTTTGAGAATCACTGGGTTAAAGGTGTGATTATTGTATGTACATAAGAGAAATCCCTTTTAAGTGAAAGAAAAGGTTAAAAAAAAAGTAGTCAGTGGCCATAAAACACTGCAACTGTGCTAAAGTTACAAAGTGACAGTGATGGGTTGGCACAAACCATCAGCAGAAGTTGGGGGGATAGAGAACTGTATAGGACAGTTGGGGGGATAGAGAACCATAAGGGACAGTTGGGGGGATAGAGAACTGTATAGGACAGTTGGGGGGATAGAGAACCATAAGGGACAGTTGGGGAGATAGAGAACTGTATAGGACAGTTGGGGGAATAGAGTACTGTAAGGGATGGTTTGGGGGGTGGATAGAGAACTGTAACGGACAGTTGGGGGGATAGAGAACTATAATGGACAGGACAATTTGGGGATAGAGAGCTGTAAGGGACAGTTGGGGGATAAAGTATCATAAAGCACAATTGGGGATAGAGAACTGTAAGGGACAGTTGAGGCAAAAGGGGATATAGAAGTATAGAGGACAACTAGGGAATGGGTAGAGACATTTAGGGATAGCTGGGGGAGATAGAGAACTGTCAAGGACATTTGGAGAAGGGGGGATTATTGAAGCATAAGGGACACATGATAGGGGGCTGAGGGTGCTCACAGTGATTCAAGTTGTTAACGGGCCAATACAGGAAACCTTCTGCCACCTCTTAAAGTGTGAGTTTCTCTGGGAGGAGGCCTCTTTTTGCTTTGGTTTTGGGGTTTCATTAAGTGGTGGTGGGCCGGAATATCTGGCAGAATCCTCAGTCGGTCACTTTTATTTTCAGTCCTGATTCCCGTCTCATTTCTCAGCCCACTGACGTCGGTGAACTTTATAAACTCTGTCATCACCTCCTCTTTCTGTGTCTCTCTATGTTGGCTTCCCTCTTGACTCACTGGTGTTTCCTCATTGTAGAGCTAGACGAGAATCTTCCCGAGAAACCCTTAATTTCCTGCTTCCACTTTTATCATTCATGACGATGACCTCACCTAACCCTTTCGTCCTCTTAATAAAATTGTGTTGGTGTCTCGGGAAGTCTTTCCATCGAAGGTCCTGAAATACAAATGAACAGTTCTCTTGAATATCAGCAATTAAAGACTCGGCAGCTTAGATCACGTGGTCTGTAGCTACCTGGAGCATTGTGAGATGTTCGCCGCATTGAGGAGATATTGGAGGGACTGTTACTGTTTAATCAGACAGATGTTGGATGGTGAACAATGAAATAAGAGGATGACCAAAAGACAACTGCCGTGCAGCACCATATATTAGGAAGCATAGGCTGCAGACGTGAGGAGCAAATATGGCTGCCCCATGTATAGGCCTACCCCAGAACATTGCTAGATCAAACTGGACTGTCCCAGTATTTAAACACAGTCAGTAGGTTCTGCGGGCCCAGGACATGTCCCAGAGCCAATCCGGTCAGACCGTATATCAGTAGAAATGCAGGACTCTGATTGGCTCACGTGGTATGATTTATAAAATGCTGATGTCATGCTTTATGCATTCCTTATTTTTCGGGACAGTGGGCAGAGAGGTGCTGCCAAGCACGGGGAATCCATTGCATTCAGCCAAGTCACCTTGGTGGCACAATGCCCATTGGATTGTGCTTATCGTGCCATGCCCGTCAGTCACAGCGTGCAAAAACATGTGACCAGTCCAATCATGTGACCTGACACATCTCTGCCCGCCCGGCCAATAGTGGAAGGCCATCCTTGTGGACTGTGGTGTGGCGGTCAGTAGGGTGTCACCTGGCTGGTAGAAATAGGACTTGTTTCTGATCTTCTTAATAAGAGAGAAATCATATTTATGGAAAAGGAAACAAGCTCAGCCACCAGTGTGACCGCGGTGTCCATCCCCTCTCTTCACACGCATGTGCCAGTTGTGTGATTGACTATCTTAGAACACCATGGGGAGAGGACAATGTGTTTGTACACAATAGTCTAACCTGCCTGAACAATCATTTGTATGTTCATCCATCTGGAGGAATCAGCTGTGTAACATTCCGTATTTGTTCCACATTTCAGGAATTCTCTTTGCTGTGACGGTGATGGGGCCCGGAGTCGCCTTCATCCTGGGGTCAGCCATGCTGCGTTACTACGTTGACATAGACAAGATTCCAGCCAGTGAGTACCATGACCCCCATCACTCCTGTAATCCATCAGCCGGCTTCTGCTTACTTATCCCAGCCGGTTGTAGTGTGTGTCCGTGAGGACCGTGACCTCTGGGCTGTATCTGGCTTCAGGTCTCTGCCAACTTTGCTCACCAACACTGAGCTCCGCTCACACAGGGCACGCCGACACTAAGCTCCGCTCACACAGGGCACGCCGACACTAAGCTCGCTCACACAGGGCACGCCGACACTAAGCTCCGCTCACACAGGGCACGCCGACACTAAGCTCCGCTCACACAGGGCACACCGGCACAGAGCTCCTCTCACACAGGGCACACCGACACAGAGCTCCTCTCACACAGGGCACACCGACACAGAGCTCAGCACACACAGGGCACACCGACACTGAACTCTGCTCACACAGGGCACAACAACACAGAGCTCCTCTCACACAGGGCACACTGACAAAGATCTCCGCTCACACAAGGCACAGCGGCACAGAGCTCCGCTCACACAGGACACACCGACACAGAGCTCCGCTCACACAGGACACACCGGCACTGAGCTCCGCTCACACAGGGCACACCGACACAGAGCTCAGCACACACAGGGCACACCGACACTGAACTCCGCTCACACAGGGCACAACGACACAGAGCTCCTCTCACACAGGACACACCGGCACAGAGCTCCGCTCACACAGGGCACACCGACACAGAGCTCAGCACACACAGGACACACCGACACAGAGCTCCTCTCACACAGTGCACACCGGCACTGAGCTCCTCTCACACATGGCACACCGACACAGAGCTCAGCACACACAGGACACACCGACACAGAGCTCCTCTCACACAGTGCACACCGGCACTGAGCTCCTCTCACACAGGACACACCGACACTGAGCTCCGCTCACACAGGGCACACCGACACAGAGCTCAGCACACACAGGGCACACTGACAAAGATCTCCGCTCACACAAGGCACACCGGCACAGAGCTCCGCTCACACAGGACACACCAACACAGAGCTCCACTCACACAGGGCACACCGGCACTGAGCTCCTCTCACACAGGACACACCGACACTGAGCTCCGCTCACACAGGGCACACCGACACAGAGCTCCGCTCACACAGGGCATACCGGCACAGAGCTCCACTCACACAGGGCACACCGGCACAGAGCTCCGCTCACACAGGGCACACCGACACAGAGCTCCACTCACACAGGGCACACCGGCACAGAGCTCCTCTCACACAGGGCACACCAACACAGAGCTCCACTCACACAGGGCACACCGGCACTGAGCTCCTCTCACACAGGGCACACCGGCACAGAGCTCCACTCACACAGGGCACACCAACACAGAGCTCCACTCACATAGGGCACACCGGCACTGAGCTCCTCTCACACAGGGCACACCGGCACAGAGCTCCTCTCACACAGGGCACACCAACACAGAGCTCCACTCACACAGGGCACACCGGCACTGAGCTCCTCTCACACAGGGCACACCGGCAAAGAGCTCCACTCACAAGAGCTCCACTCACACAGGGCACACCAACACAGAGCTCCGCTCACACAGGGCACACCGGCACTGAGCTCCTCTCACACAGGGCACACCGACACAGAGCTCCGCTCACACAGGACACACCGGCACAGAGCTCCACTCACCAACACAGAGCTCTGCTCACACTGACACAGAGCTCCTCTCACACAGGACACACAGCTCCTCTCACACAGGACACACCGACACAGAGCTCCTCTCACACAGGACACACCGACACAGAGCTCCTCACACAGGACACACAGCTCCTCTCACACAGGACACACCGACACAGAGCTCCTCACACAGGGCACACTGACACAGAGCTCCTCACACAGGACACACCGACACAGAGCTCCGCCAATGACTGTCACCGACCTCTCCACAGGCGAGATCGTGCTGACCCCGCGTGACCCGCGCTGGATCGGAGCCTGGTGGATGGGATTCATTGTGGCGGCCAGTGTCACGGCCATGGCCTCCATCCCGTATTTCTTCTTCCCCAGGGAGATGCCACAAGAGGTGAGACCCGTGTTCAGGTGGTATTGTTTTACATTGGAGGCTGAACTCCCTCGTCCTGTAATCCTCCTCGTCCCACTCCAGCCCGTTTATTCCGAGCAAACGTTACGTCCCTTCTGGTCTGTTAAGTATACAATTCAAAGTGTTTTGTTATATCTGTTATATCCCTGTTGATCCTGCCAGGAATCCAGAGATCATCACTTCCTGTGCTCATTGTTTCCAGTTCTCCCTGAGGACTACAAAACACCTTCATCTATGTTATGGAGATAAAGACAGGGAAATGTGCTCTCTAGGGTGACAACACTGCTCCTCCATAGATAGAGTACTGTGAGTGTCACCTTATGACAGGAAGTGTGTTACTGGCCAGGTGAGAATAAAGGAAACATGAAAACGAATGCAGGCGCCACATCTAAGGACGAGGAGGATACAATGTGACATTTTGGGGTTTGGGATTATTTTTGTTTTTCTGATCTAAACATTACGCAGTCCCCCTTCAACGGTGATGGACCCGCAGCTCCGCTCTCATCACTTCCTCCTGTATTCGGGTTTATGTTATCAGTCTCGTCTGCCACATTGTAACCCTCCAAGGTCATGTGATCAGAAAATATATTGTGTAACAAAGTCTTCCGGCAAAACCGACCATCTGCGGCCCGAAAACATTTGCTGAGTTTGGCGGAACTTTTCCTGCTGACCAGCCAAAAAAAACCACTTTGTAACAGTAAAGGAAATGTATCCGGAATGTTACAAGCACTCACATCGGTCTCTGAACCGGAGGAGCTTACACTCTAATGTCCCCTCCCCCCACAGTCACATAAGTCTCTGTACAGAGGAGCTTACACTCTAATGTCCCCCCACAGTCACATCAGTCTCTGTACAGAGGAGCTTACACTCTAATGTCCCCTCCCCCACAGTCACATCAGTCTCTGTACAGAGGAGCTTACACTCTAATGTCCCCTCCCCCCCCCACAGTCACATCAGTCTCTGTACAGAGGAGCTTACACTCTAATGTCCCCTCCCCCCCACAGTCACATCAGTCTCTGTACAGAGGAGCTTACACTCTAATGTCCCCCCACAGTCACATCAGTCTCTGTACAGAGGAGCTTACACTCTAATGTCCCCCCACAGTCACACACTATTATTATACATGTATAAAGCTCTGACATATACCGCAGTGCTGTACATAGAACACTGAGCCGGTCACATCAGTCTCTCCCCTCCCCCAGAATGGGGTGTTATTAGTATGTGTGACCCGGTTTCCCGGGCTATGTACTATGTTGTGCCCATGCAGTAAACACGAGACGTCCGGGCACATGGTAGTCCATGACAGATGGCTGGGAAGAGGAAGTTGGGTGACAGGCGGATTCCGCACTTCCTCATTTAAAAAAAAAAATAGAAAACAAAGCTGCAATTGATCATTTACAGAACTGAGGTAAAATGAGTTTAAAGTGCAAACTAATCCGTCGTGTCACAATGTCTCTTCCAGAGGCTGACGATGGACACAATGTCTGCAAAATGACCCCCTCCCCCTCTCTACTCCTACTGCCCATGTGATATGCACCTGTGGGGTAAAAGTTTATTTAAAAAAAAACAAGGCCATGGGGTACTCTTCACATATCTACCAGGCTATTCCTAACTGCTGCACTTAACATGGCTGTTTACAGAGTTCAATAACTAAAACTCAGTGACAACCTATCACGGTACCACGCTTGTAGTCACTGAGCTCCTGAGAGCGACCCGGCGACCCCCGGAACAACACAGAGTATGTAGCGTCATATGATTTTGTATTGCTGTGTATGTATTGCTGGGATTTGTAATCCTCTATAGCCGGTCTCCTGGTGGTCTCTCCTCGCTCTCTCTATAGTCTCATTAAATGCGGCGCTAGAGTGTTTGGGTTTCACTTGAACAAAAGGTGGCAAACCCACATCCAATGCTAAGCCTAAGAGCTAAAATGATCATCTCCTGGGCCCCCCGATACTTCTACAGCTCACTCCGAGGGAGCACATAATAGATACGGATGTAACGAGGATGTGTGTTTGCAGCTGGGCTGTAGTCAGCCTGAAGCTTTGTATTCTGGCATCGTTGGGTTCCTCCTAAGCCCACGGACATTGTTTGCTTCTCCCCGTTACTGTTGAACATTCTCCAGTAGATAGACGAAGATACTTTGTATCGTGTTATGGATATTTATTCTGTCCTGGCCAATCACCGAGGGGTTAATGCCAGCGACGTGGGCCAGGGAGGGGGGATAAATAATTAGAGAGACCTTCTAGGAAGGGCTTTTCATTCCAGACTCTGCCTGAGGACTACGTGAGTTCGGGGGTCCTGCCCTTCCTTGCCAGGATGCTACCTGGGGAGGATCTAGCTCCAGGGAGGTCCACTCTTTGCCTCCCACGTCCAGGGGAGGAAGTCAGAGCCAAGAAGAGAGTTTGTTTCTTAGCTGCCTGTGTGGGCCAAAAGTGTCCAAAACTGGTCTGTGAGAGAGGTCTGAGGAGCCTGGTCTGTGGCAGAGGCTGAAGATACTTAAAGGAGAACTATGGGGTCAGTGTTTTTCCCCAAAGTTCTCCTTAGGGTAACGGGAGGACACAAACTAGCGTCCTCCCGTCACCCTAAGCTCAGTATATAGGGAGCTACAGCTCGCGGTATACTGAGACGCCGCAGCCGGAGCGGGTCCCGACTTAGACGTCGGGATCTGCCCAGCTGCGTGAGTGACAGCTGGCTCTGCCTATCTAGAGGCAGAGCCAGCTGTACCCGCC